TGGCAGGAATATAACTTCTCCCTTAACGTTAACAAAACGAAGGAGCTGATCGTGGACTTCAGGAGACAGCAGAGGGAGCACGCCCCAATCCACATCGACGGGACTGCAATGGAGAAGGTGAAAAACTTTAAGTTCCTCTGCGTACACATCACTGACAATCTGAAATGGTCCACCCACACAGACAGTGTGGTGAAGAAGGCACAACAGTGCCTCTTCAACATCAGGAGGCTGAAGCAATTTGGCTTGGCACCTAAGGCCCTCACAAACTTTTACAGATGCACAATTGAGAGCATCCTGTCGGGCTGTATCACTGTCTGGTATGGCAACTGCACTTTCCGCAACCGCAAGGCTCCAAAGTGTGGTGCGGTCTGACCAACGCATCACCAGGGGCACACTGCCTGCCCTCCAGGACACCTACAGCACCCAATGTCACAGGAAGGCCAGAAAGATCATCAAGGACATCAACCACCCGAGCCACGGCCGCTATCATCCAGAAGGCGAGGTCAGTACAGGTGCATCAAAGCTGGGACCGAGAGACTGAAAAACAGCTTCTATCTCAAGGCCATCACAAGCCGGCTACCACCCGGTTACTCAGCCCTGCACCTTAGAGGCTGCTGCCCTATGTACATAGACATGGCATCACTGGTCACTTTAATAATGGAAGACTAGTCACTTTAATAATTTTTACATACTGCTTTACTCATTTCATATGTATATCCTGTATTCTACTGTATTTTTGTCAATGCCACTCTGACATTGCTCATCCTAATATTTATATACAGTGCTATGAAAAAGTATTTGCCCCCTTTCTAATTTTCTCTACTTTTGCATATTTGTGATACTGAATGTTATCAGATCTTCAACCAAAACCTAATATTAGATAAAGGGAACATAAGTGAACAAATAACACAACAATTACATATTTATTTCATTTATTTCATAAACAAAGTTATGTAACACCCAATTCCCCTGTGTGAAAAAGTAATTGCCCCCTTACACTCAATAACTAGTTGTGCCACCTTTAGCTGCAATGACTCCAACCAAATGCTTCCTGTAGTTGTTGATCAGTCTCTCACGTCGCTGTGGAGGAATTTTGGCCCACTCTTCCATGCAGAACTGCTTTAACTCAGTGACGTGTGGGTTTTCAAGCATGAACTGCTCGTTTCAAATCCTGCCACAACATCTCAATTGGGATTAGGTCTGGACTTTGACTAGGCCATTCCAAAACTTCAAATTTGTTGCTTTTTAGCAATTTTCATGTAGACTTGATTGTGTGTTTTGGATCATTGTCTTGCTGCATGACCCAGCTGCGCTTCAGCTTCAGCTCACAGACGGATGGTCTGACATTCTCCTGTAGAATTCTCTGATACAGAGCAGAATTCATGGTTCCTTCTATTAAGGCAAGTCGTCCAGGTCCTGAGGCAGCAAAGCATCCCCAAACCATCACACCACCACCATGCTTGACCTTTGGGATGATGTTCTTACTGTGGAATGCAGTGTTTGGTTTTCGCCAGGCATAATGGGAACCCATCTCGTCCAAAAAGTTGACTCAAGTTTGCCAAAAAGCACCTGGATGATCATCAAGACTCTTGGAACAATGTTATATGGACAGATGATTCAAAAGTATAACTTTTTGGACGACATGGTTCCAGTAATGCCTGGCGAAAACCAAATTCTGCATTCCACAGTATGTATTCACCCCCTTTGCTATGAAGCCCCTATATAAGATCTGGTGCATCCAATTACCTTCAGAAGTCCCATAATTAGTAAAATAAAGTCCCCCTGTGTGCAATCTAAGTGTCACATGATCTGTCACATGATCTCAGTATATATACACCTGTTCTGAAAGGCCCCAGAGTCTGCAACACCTCTAAGCAAGGGGCACCACCAAGCAAGCGGCACCATGAAGATCAAGGAGCTCTCCAAACAGGTCAGGGACAAAGTTGTGGAGAAGTACAGATCAGGGTTGGGTTATAAAAAAATATCAGAAACTTTGAACATGATTAAAAATGGAAAGAATATGGCACCACAACAAACCTGCCAAGAGAGGGCTGCCCATCAAAACTCACGGACCAGGCAAGGAGGGCATTAATGAGAGAGGCAACAAAGAGACCAAAGATAACCCTGAAGGAACTGCAAAGCTCCACAGCGGAGATTGGCGTATCTGTTCATAGGACCACTTTAAGCCGTACACTCCACAGAGCTGGGCTTTACGGAAGAGTGGCCAGAAAAAAGCCATTGCTTAAAGAAAAAAATAAGCAAACACGTTTGGTGTTCGCCAAAAGGCATGTGGGAGACTCCCAAAACATATGGAAGAAGGTACTCTGGTCAGATGAGACTAAAATTGAGCTTTTTGGCCATCAAGGAAAACGCTATGTCTGGCGCAAACCCAACACCTCTCATCACCCCGAGAACACCATCCTCATGCTGTGGGGATGTTTTTCATCGGCAGGGACTGGGAAACTGGTCAGAATTGAAGGAATGATGGATGGCCCTAAATACTGGGAAATTCTTGAGGGAAATCAGTTTCAGTCTTCCAGAGATTTGAGACTGGGACGGAGGTTCACCTTGCAGCAGGACAATGACCCTAAGCATACTGCTAAAGCAACACTTGAGTGGTTTAAGGGGAAACATTTAAATGTCTTGGAATGGCCTAGTCAAAGCCCAGACCTCAATCCAATTGAGAATCTGTGGTATGACTTAAAGATTGCTGTACACCAGCGGAACCCATCCAACTTGAAGGAACTGGAGCAGTTTTGCCTTGAAGAATGGGCAAAAATCCCAGTGGCTAGATATGCCAAGCTTATAGAGACATACCCCAAGAGACTTGCAGCTGTAATTGCTGCAAAAGGTGGTTCTACAAAGTATTGACTTTGGGTGGGTGAATAGTTATGCACGCTCAAGTTCTTTTTTTTTGTTGGTCTAATTTCTTGTTTGTTTCACAAAAAAATGTATTTTGCATCTTCAAAGTGGTAGGCATGTTGTGTAAATAAAATTATACAAACCCCCAGAAAAATCCATTTTAATTCCAGGTTGCAAGGCAACAAAATAGGAAAAAAGCCAAGGGGGGTGAATACTTTCGCAAGCGATTTAAGATGCAAACTTTGAAAGGTCACGCCCCTCACCCTGTGTGACCTAGAGTCATGAAATTTGGTTCATCGGTCCCTCTCCTCACAAGGAACAAATTTGCCTCAAGGACCTATAAGGTCCGCCATTTTGAATTTTGTGTAAAACACTTAAGACGCTACTCCTCTGGCACCGAATGACCGATCTGCACAAAACTTGATAGGTGGCATCTATGGACCAATTTCTCACAAATGATGATTTTGCAGGACAGCATCTCAAATAAATAAATATTAATGTGGGCGTGGTCTACACATGTTCCAAACACTGTCAAGACTCATCATATCTAAGCACATTCAGATCAACCACATGGTGACGCTATAACGGGCACATGTTTATATCTCGATCTGTTTGACTCAGAGTGATAACATTTTGCACAAATGCTCAGTGTTAAGTTGCGTAATTCGAATCTGGTATCAGAACAGAATTTAACACTAAGTCACTGAATATATTCTCAGCTTTTTTATTAATATAATTAGTCAAGCGAATAAATGGTAAATGCAATCTTCGTATATACGGGCTCACTGTAACACCTCACAGGGCTAACAGAGAACTAACTGCTCAAACACAAAGTTCTTGTTTAATACTCTGACAGAAATTGTTCCCGCTCAAAGCGGGCCTGTCAGAGTAGAGGCTGAGCGTGGTTTAAACTTACTCAGCCTATCGTTGGCGCACAGGCTGGTCCCAGACTCTTGGCGCGTCACTGTTGCCGGGCATTAGTTGTTTTTGCAACCTGTCTAGAGAGTCAGCAACCACTTCTTCTTAATTGTTGCAGTACACATGTCCTTGAGCGGTTTAACAAAGAGGCAGTGTGTGTGTGTGTCACAAATCTATCTCAGCCTACGCCCTAACGGTTCCTCACATTAGTCACAGCTTGTTATGTTAAACAATCTATATCAGTACAGCACAAACATATTATGTTTAATCATTAATGTATTCTTTTTAAGCTAGGCATCACTTCTAGTTGTAAGAGAATAGACCCCCACATCAGGGATAGGAGTCTAGCTAACCTGTAAAGTATGGTTCCGTTTGGCCACATGGTGGCGCTGTTGGACAGGAAAAAGCATTAATGCAAACTCATTGGCTCATACCGGCCATATCGTTTGAGCAAGAGTCTTGGAAAATATTGTGGTTGAAGATGTGCATCAATATATGCTATATACCAAATTTGGTACTGATGGGTCCAGCAGTTCTGTAGATGAATACGTTTTAAAGTAATCAACATCATTAAATGGTCCACAATACATCAAAAGCATATTATATTGCATGATCAGTTTGATTTTGAGTTATTTGGCAAGCGTGGTAAACAGTACTGAAGTAACTTGTCCTAGGGCAATGTGTCACATTTTTCCTGATTGTGGCACAATGGGCCCATATCTGAACCCCGGCATTGCTGCTTGCAGCTACTGTATATTTGATCCCTGTACTCTTATAGCTAGCCTAGCTACGACTACAAGATCGGGATTTCAGTGTCTTTGAAGTCTGGTTTAGGTTGTCCTGCCTCTTGAGATTTTATAGCAAGCTCGTGCTATCATGGCGCGAAATCCTGGAGAACCAATTATATTTTCCTTGGCGGGAACAGACCAGCAGAAACGTCATACAGTTGAGTGATTCTGTGGTAACGTTACAGCAGCAGAAACGTAACCATAACGTAGATTGACCGACGACTACTGAAAATATACAGTACTAGCTAGTTAGCTAACTGGTAAACATTTGACTTTAGTCGAAATTACAGTAGGTTATAGCGGTAGCAGTGACTAGTACTCGTCCTGACTTAATTTAAGGGTTGAACCACAGTCATCTTTTTAAACGTTGAGGTAAATTAGCTAACTAGTCTACTGTTCTTTAGATTTTTGGCTAGAATAACACGACCGGTAATGGCCTCCACTGGGAGAAAACAGTCAAAGAAAACGAAGCATGCAGAAGACTCAACTGACATAAAATCGTTTGATTTCGCACTTGAGGACGAAAAGAAAGGACTGAGTTGTTCAGAGGATGACATCCGAGAAGGTATCTAGCTAGCTATGCAAAGGCAATTGGTTTTCTGACCCCGGGCATTTGGGCTAGCTAACTTACCATCTGTGGTATCTCTGATCACCTTCATCTCTGCCAATGTCCATAGATGAAACTCCTGTCGTTGACAAGTTGGCCAAGAAAAGGTCATTTGAGGAGGATGATCTAAAAGTTGGAGTGGGGTACGTAAAGTTATAAAGTTAGCTAACATAAACTAAGCTTCCTACCAGCAACAGCCTGTTATCTTCAAATTGAGCCTTCACCCTTTTAATTGTTTCTTGAATCATGGCATTCCCTAGGAACGAGGTACAAACCATGTTGGAGAGATTTGGAGGCAAGTTTATCACAATGTCATTTATTTTTGCTAGTTAATAGCAATATCTTCAATATAAAAAAAACAACCTGTTGATTAAAGTTGTCTTAACCAAAGGTAGGCTTGTGCTATGTTCTTTAATAAATGTTTGTCTCAAAATGGTATTCGTTTCATAGCTGATATAAGCAAAGCCATGCTGGCCAAGAGGAAACGTTTGGAGACCTTCACCAAGAGCTCACTGAAGGGCAGCAATCAGAAACTGGAGCAGCTGTGGAATACCCAGTATGCACAAAGGTAACAACACGTGCTGAGACCAGAGATTGTTTGAGGCAGTGTCAGCCCTCCTTCACCTCAGCTACACCTACTGGCATTGAATAGTGAATGTACACACAGATGGTACCCAGTTTGTCATGTACACTACTGTTCAAAAGTTTGGGGTCACTTAGGAATTTCCTTGTTTTCGAAAGAAAAGCAAAACATTTTGTCCATTAAAATAGCAACAAATTGATCAGAAATACAGTGTAGACATTGTTAATGTTGTAAATGGCTATTGTAGCTGGAAACGGCTGATTTTTAATGGAATATCTACATAGGCGTACAGAGGCCAATTATCAGCAACCATCAGTCCTGTGTTCCAATGGCACGTTTTGTTTGCTAATCCAAGTTTATCATTTAAAAGGCTAATTGATCATTAGAAAACCCTTTTGCAATTATGTTAGCACAGCTGAAAACTGTTGTGCTGATTAAAGAAGCAATAAAACTGGCCTTCTTGAGACTAGTTGAGTATCTGCGCTGTTCTGTGAAGGGAGTAGGACACAGCGTTGTACAACATCTTCAGTTTCTTGGCAATTTCTCGCATGGAATAGCCTTCATTTCTCAGAACAAGAATAGACTGATGAGTTTCAGAAAAAAGTTATTTGTTTCTGGCCATTTTGATCCTGTAATCGAACCCACAATTGCTGATCCTCCAGATACTCAACTAGTCTCAAGAAGGCCAGTTTTATTGCTTCTTTTGTATTTTATTTATTTTATTTCACCTTTTATTTAACCAGGTAAGCCAGTTGAGAACAAGTTCTCATTTACAACTGCGACCTGGCCAAGATAAAGCAAAGCAGTGCGATAAAAACAACAGAGTTACATATGGGGTAAAACAAAACAGAAAGTCAAAAATAAAACAGAAAATATATATACAGTGTGTGCAAATGTAGCAAGTTATGGAGGTAAAGCAATAAATAGGCCATAGTGCAAAATAATTAGAATTTAGTATTAACACTGGAGTGAAAGATGTGCAGAAGATGATATGCAATAGAGATACTGGGGTGCAAATGAGCAAAATAAATACATTTACATTTACATTTACGTCATTTAGCAGACGCTCTTATCCAGAGCGACTTACAAATAGGTGCATTCACCTAAATAACAATGTAAATAACAATATGGGGATGAGGTAGTTGGGTGGGCTAATTACAGATGGGCTGTGTACAGGTACAGTGATCGGTAAGCTGCTCTAACAACTGATGCTTAAAGTTAATGAGGGAGATGAGTGTCTCCAGCTTCAGAGATTTTTGTAGTTCGTGCCAGTCATTTGCAGCAGAGAACTGGAAGGAATGGCGGCCAAAGGAGGTGTTGGCTTTGGGGATGACCAGTGAGATATACCTGCTGGAGCGCTGGGTGTTGCTATGGGGACCAATGAGCCAAGATAAGGCGGGGATTTGCCTAGCAGTGATTTATAGATGACCTGGAGCCAGTGGGTTTGGCAACGAATATGTAGTGAGGGCCAGCCAACGAGAGCGTACAGGTCACAATGGTGGGTAGTATATGGGGCTTTGGTGACAAAACGGATGGCACTGTGATAGACTACATCCAATTTGCTGAGTAGATTGTTGGAGGCTATTTTGTAAATGACATCGCCGAAGTCAAGGATCAGTAGGATAGTCCGTTTTACGAAGGCATGTTTGGCAGCATGAATGAAGGAGGCTTTGTTGTGAAACAGGAAGCCAATTCTAGATTTAACTTTGGATTGGACTTAATGTGAGTCTGGAAGGAGAGTTTACGGTCTAACCAGACACCTAGGTATTTGTAGTTGTCCACATATTCTAAGTCAGACCCGCCGAGAGTAGTGATTCTAGTTGGGCGGGCGGGTGCAAGCAGCGTTCGATTGAAGAGCTTGCATTTAGTTTTACTAGCGTTTAAGAGCAATTGGAGGCTACGGAAGGTGTGTTGTATGGCATTGAAGCTCGTTTGGAGGTTTGTTAACACAGTGTCCAATGAAGGGCCAGATGTATACAAAATGCTGTTGTCTGCGTAGAGGTGGATCTGAGAGTCACCAGCAGCAAGAGCGACATCATTGATATACACAGAGAATAGAGTCGGCCCGAGAATTGAACCCTGTGGCACCCCCATAGAGACTGCCAGAGGTCCAGACAACAGGCCCTCTGATTTGACACATTGAACTCTATCTGAAAAGTAGTTGGTGAACCAGGCGAGGCAAGTAGTTGAGAAACCAAGGCTATTTAGTCTGCCAATAAGAATGCGGTGATTGACAGAGTCTAGCCCAGCTGATTTGTAGGGGTCCAGATTTTGCAGCTCTTTCAGAACATCAGCTATCTAAATTTGGGTGAAGGAGAAGGGGGGGGGCATTGGCAAATTGCAGCGGAGGGTACAGAGCTGGTGGCCGGGGTAGGGGTAGCCAGGTGGAACGCATGGCCAGCCGTAGCATAATGCTTATTGAAATTCTCGATTATCGTAGATTTATCGGTGGTGACAGTGTTTCCTAGCCTCAGTGCAGTGGGTAGCTGGGAGGAGGTGCTTTTATTCTCCATGGACTTTACAGTGTCCCAAAACCTTTTGGAGTTAGTGCTATAGGATGCAAATTTCTAATTGAAAAAGCTAACCTTTGCTTTCCTAACTGATTGTGTATATTGGTTCCTGACTTCCCTGAAAAGTTGCATATCGCGGGGGCTGTTCGATGCTAATGCAGTACGCCACAGGATGTTTTTTGTGCTGGTCAAGGGCAGTCAAGTCTGGGGTGAACCAAAGGCTATATCTGTTCTTAGTTCTGAATTTTTTGAATGGGGCATGCTTATTTAAGATGGTTAGGAAAGCACTTTTGAAGAACATCCAGGCATCCTCTACTGACGGAATGAGGTCAATATCCATCCAGGATACCCGGGCCAGGTCAATTAGAAAGGCCTGCTCGCTGAAGTGTTTTAGGGAGCGTTTGACAGTGATGAAGGGTGGTCATTTGACCACGGACCCATTACGGACGCAGGCAATGAGGCAGTGATCGCTGAGATCCTGGTTGAAGACAGCTGAGGTGTATTTAGAGGGTAAATTAGTCAGGATGATATCTATGAGGGTGCCCATGTTTACGGATTTAGGGTTGTACCTGATAGGTTTAGATTGTAGGATGGCCGGGGTGTTAAGCATATCCCAGTTTAGGTCACCAAGCAGTACGAACTCTGAGGATAGATGGGGGGCAAGCAATTCACATATGGTGTCCAGGGCACAATTGGGGCTGAGGGGGGTCTGTAGCAAGCGGCAACAGTCAGATACCTTTTTCTGGAAAGGTGGATTTTTAGAAGTAGAAGCTCAAACTGTTTGGGCACAGACCTGGATAGTATGACAGATCTCTACAGTAGATTGCAACTCCGCCCCCTTTGGCAGTTCTATCTAGACGGAAAATGTTGTAGTTCGGGATGGAAATTCCTGAATTTTTGGTGGCCTTCCTAAGCCAGATTTCAGACACTGCTAGAACATCAGGGTTGGCAGAGTGTGCTAACGCAGTGAATAACTCAAACTTGGAGAGGAGGCTTCTGATGTTAACATGCAAGAAACCAATGCTTTTACGGTTACAGAAGTCAACAAATGATAGCTCCTGGGGAGTAGGAGTGATACTGGGGGCTGCAGGGCCTGGGTTAACCTCTACATCACCAGAGGAACAGAGGAGGAATATAATAAGTATACGGCTAAAGGCTTTAAGAACTGGTCTTCTAGTGCGTTGGGTACAGAGAATAAACGGGGCAGATTTCCGGGCGTTGTAGAATAGATTCAGGGCATTATGTACAGACAAGGATATGGAGGGATATGAGTACAGTGGAGGTACACCTAAGCATTGGGTAACGATGAAAGAGATAGCATCACTGGAGGTACCGATTGAGCCGGTCTCCACGTGTATGGGGGTTGGGACAAAGGAGCTATCTGAGGCAGGTTGAGCGGGACTGGGGGCTGTGAAATAGTACAATAACAACTAACCCAAACAGCAATAGGCTAGGCATATTGACATGGGACAGAGGCATAACGCAATCACAGGTGTTATTTGAGAGGGCTAAGACAACAACTGGTAATGGTGACGAAAGTTTGGGCTTAGGCTAAACAAGATAAACAGGATGGGGTACCGTGTAAAGGAACAGTCCAGCGGGCATCAGATGTGTAGTTGAGTGATCATAAGGTCCAGTGAACAGCAATAGGTAAGTCCGGGAGCAGTTCGTAGGCTGCTACAGGACAGGCGAGCAGGAGGCACGGCTGTTGATTGCGCGTGCTAGCGGGCCGGTGCTAGCAGATGGATCTTCGTGATCATCGCAACGGGAAGCCTGTTGAAACCACATCAGACGATTACGTCGGCAGACCAGTCGTGATGGATCGGCAGGGCTCCGTGTCGACACTAGGAGGTCCCGTCCGGTTGACAGTGAGGTGGATAGCCGGGAGATGGGCCTGGCTCGAGGCTAGCTCAAGGCTAACTGGTGCTAGCTTTGGGACAAGTGGTGATTAGCCAACAACAACATCCATTCGGTTGCAGCTAGCTAGTTTTGATGATCCGGTGTTAAATTTCAGTGATTCCGGCAGAAAATCCTAAATGCTCTGGGTCGATAGCACGCTGTGCAGACTGGCCGATAATTGTCCAGGCTAGAGCTGGCTGGTAGGTAGTGCAGGCCACAGACAGTGGTGAAGACCGCTAACGGTGGCTAATAGCAATAGCTAATAGCAAGTAGCTAGTTAGCTGGCTAGTTTCAGCCGTGGGTTCTTGATAAAAGGTATGAAGAAATAATAGAATCCGTTCCACATTGGGTGAGGCGGGTTGCAGGAAAGTATATTTAGTTAAGGATGGAAAGTGAGATTGAGAAATATATACGAAAAAAAAACTATTTACACAAGGACACAACATAATCCACGACCGCACTGCTATGCCATCTTGGATTATCATTGATCAGCACAACAGTTTTCAGCAATGCTAACATAATTGCAAAAGGGTTGTCTAATGATCAATTAGCCTTTTAAAATGATAAACTTGGATTAGCAAACACAACATGCCATTGGAACACAGGACTGATGGTTGCTGATAATGGGCCTCTGTACGCCTATTTAGATATTCCATAAAAAATCTGCCGTTTCCAGCTACAATAGCCATTTACAACATTAACAATGTCTACACTCTATTTCTGATCATTTTGTTGTTATTTTAATGGACAAAGAAATTGCTTTTCTTTCAAAAACAAGGAAATTATCTAAGTGACCCCAAACTTTTGAACGGTAGTGTACATTACATGCAAAAAACAACCACAAGATATTGCCTGCATTCTTTGTTTAGCAGGGTGTTTTCTTTATTCAGAGGGAGCTGAAGAATACCAAGTTATCAATCAGAAGTATACTTTCTACCAGAAAGTTTTGCTTTGTTCTGTTTTTGAAATGTAGCGTTAAAATCACTATGAACACTGCCAGTTGAATTTTTGAATCGTAGCTTGCTCTTTGTGTCAATGTTTTTGGATCAACGTTGAAACAGTATGCATGCTCTCAAATCAAGCTCCCAGACTCGAGCAACAACAACAAAACTAAGAATATAATTATGTTTGGGCGCATTGTAGGGTACGTCAATGACTACACATGGAAGGTAACATTTGATATCACTGAATATGGCCAAAGTCCTATCCCAGACACCATTTTATTGCCATTAGTTTACACATTTATTAGCCTACATCTGATGTTTGCTTTGCACTTTGTCATTTGTCTTTGCACTTTGAAAACTTTGTCTACTGGGTGTTTTTGCAGGCAGAAGCTGACTCAGGAGTACTCACAGCAGGTGTCATCTGTGCTGCAGCAATGGGAGATTGATGCACAGAAATCAGAGGATCAGGAGGAAAAATTGAATGTCAGTGCTATTCTGTATAATGATAATACAACTCTTTCGGGACTCACACACAGTATACAGCTGAAATGTAACATTGTCTTTTCCTCTGTAGAACCTGTTTCGCCAGCAACAAAAGCTGTTCCAGCAGGCTAGAGTGGTGCAAAGCCAGAAACTGAAAACCATCAAAGAGCTATACGAGCAGTTCATTAAGGTGAGTGCCAGATGACAGTTTCCTCTTACAATGTTAGGTCTGATGCAAATGCTCCCAAAGACACTGATCCATAGCTGGAATTCCATCATTACAGATGGTGAATTTTATACATTACGTTTTCACAAGTGTTTTTGATTTGCACATCAGTATGGTACTTAATTTACAAATCGGCTGTCCTGTGGCATTCGCAAGATGACTTCTCCGTCAGGTTTGTTTTCAGTATTTACGGGTCATCCGGCACATGCTATGGGAGTACCAATTTATAAATGACGTGTTAACTCGCTGCTGTTCTCCAACACACTGCTGTACAAATCAAAACACCTGTTAAGTTGAAGTGCAAAAAAACGCTATTTGGAATGATTCAATTTCAACCCAGATCTTTCTATGAAGTTAATCAAAATAATTGAAACTCTTGGGTTTGTTATATTTTCTTTTTAAGAACATGGAGGAGATGGAGAAGAGCCATGAGACCTTCCTGCAGGGGGCACAGGTGGAGCTGAAGAAGGAGATGGCAGTGTTGCAGAATAAAATTATGATGGACACTGTGAGTTACGCAATGTCAAATCGCATTTACAGTTTTTGACCAACTGTACACTGTCAAGACACAATTAAGTTAAGATCAGTTAATTGGCTTGGCTCAAAGCTAGCAAATTCACGTCATGTAGCCTTCATGTCTGAGGGTTAATTAAAGTAAATTGAAACCACATTAATTTATGACGGAAATTATGTTGCGTCCAACTCCCACTCATTTCTGGCTACCACTGAGTTATGGCAAATCTGGAATGGTTTCCCATTGGTCACTTGTGTGTTATAACATCTCTCTCTGTCTCCACAGCAACAGCAGGAGATGGCCACTGTCCGCAAGTCTCTTCAGTCTATGCTGTTCTAGAGGAAGTTTAATCTGATGTTACCATGTCAACACCCTCTCTACAGTCAAACTGCTGAGGTTTTTTACAATATGAGAGTTCATGACAATTAGACACTGGAAATGAAAGACAGAGATAACGTTTTCAAAGTCTGAATTTTGTTTGTATATTTGCATGCTGTATTTATTCATTAACATGTTTCTTATTTGTATATTTATTTGCCAATTGATCTGCTATTGTAAACTTACCTGTATGTTTATCTTCTGTTTGAAGTGCAATTTTAGTCAATGTACCAAAAATGTGATATCATAAAACAATTTGCACTAAACAATAAAACAATTTTTTTATTAAAGCCATTATAAGTGGCAGTTATTTTTTATAATGGACTGAGAAGTATTTTCTGATTTTGTCAAGGCAGACAACAATACCAAAACTTTGATCCACTCCTCTGCCTATGTGCTTCGACATTTCTTGCCTCTTGTTTTTTTCTCCAAACATTGTTGGTTGTAACACAGTAGTATATCCCTGCAAATAGCTGGCGATAATGTGCCAATAACTGAGTTGGGCATGTAAACAACCCCAAAAAGAAGACACTTCACTTAGTGTATAGGATTGCAGGGACTGTTATTAGGCAAAAATGGGTAAGATTTGTTGCTACCTTTTTTAGTGTGTCATGCTTTTGTTACATTTCTCATGAAATCAATGTTTAGCCACTGATTAGTTTCCATCAGCCAATGTTGGCTCTGTGTTAGCATTTAAAGAGCTAGGTAGGATGTTGTCAATTTATAATTTCCTATGAATGCATTTTAAATTATTTGGGTGTTCTGAGGTAAACCAGATTAACAATTGCTATCCAGGGAATGTGTAAAAGACAGATGTCGCTGTATGCTAGCTACTTCAATGACCTCTTCTGTCTCCTCGTATTGCATTGTTATTCAGGAAAATAACTTGCTGACCTGTGAAAGTGAATGCATACCAGACAGTGCTATTATAGCTAGGCCTTTAGTAATATGCATTGAGCAGACCTGTCACCTGACATTGGTATTTTGGCCTTAAAAGTTATGTCTGTATAGTTTGATCAATGTTATGAGTAAAGTATGACCACTATAATTTTCTCTATCCCTCCTGCCTTGTTAAATCTAGGTGGGTTCTTCTCCAGTCTATTTTCTGGCCTGTTTGGCACCAGGGAAATAAGGATACAGATCCTGGGGTTGGATGGAGCTGGGAAAACTACAATCCTTAACAGACTTCAAGTTGGGGAGGTCGTCACCACTATTCCTAGTATTCTCAGTGCTGAGTAACATACTCAAACTGACGCTCTAACTTTGCATGCCAATACAATGGTATGTCTTGCAACAGATATATTTGTCACTGAAATGGTTCAAGCTAAGAATAACATACAGTACAAAGAGTTATGATTCACTTACAGTACTTGACATTTGTTGACTCTCCACTCTTTTTTTTCCCCCAGCCATTGGCGTCAATGTGGAAACGGTAACATACAAGAATCTGACATTCCAGGTGTGGGATCTTGTAGGGCAGACCAGTATTAGGTATTAAGACATTCCTGACTTCAACTTATTTATTGTAGCATATGTCTCACACATCTGAAGATTGCAGCTGTCAGCAGTCAGTTTGTCAAGAGTCAACCAACCAATGTATTGGTTACACTAAATGTTTCTTCTTGCATCTCTCTCTGTTTCAGGCCTTACTGGCGCTGCTACTACTCCAACACTGATGCTGTTATCTATGTAGTGGACAGCAGTGACCAGGACAGGATGGGAATTTCCAAGTCTGAACTGGTGGCTATGCTTGAGGTATGATGAATTTGGCTTTAGTAGCTTGTATATAAGCCTTTCATACTTTAATATGTTTACTGGTCTCATGGCTCACAGTTCTCTTCTTATCCATTAGTCTGATTAATCAGGCTGTAATAGACAATTAACTGGTATATACAGCCTGAAATGAATGACTGCAAAATCTTGTAAATGTTTCTTACAAGCCAGAATGTTGAGTAAAATTACAGTGCCTTGCAAAAGTATTCATCCCCCTTGGCGTTTTTCCTATTTTGGTGCATTACAACCTGTAATTTAGATGGATTTTTATTTGGATTTCATGTAATGGACATACACAAAATAGTCCAAATTGGTGAAGTGAAATGAAAAAAATAACTTGTTTCAAAAAATTCAAAAAAATAAATAACGGAAAAGTGGTGCGTGCATATGTATTCACCTCCTTTGCTATGAAGCCCCTAAATAAGATCTGGTGCAACCAATTACCTTCAGAAGTTCCATAATTAGTTAAATAAAGTCCACATGTGTGCAATCTAAGTGTCACATGATCTGTCACATGATCTCAGTATATATACACCTGTTCTGAAAGGCCCCTGAGTCTGCAACACCACTAAGCAAGGGGCACCACCAAGGAGCTTTCCAAACAGGTCAGGGACAAAGTTGTGGAGAAGTACAGATCAGGGTTGGGTTATAAAAAAATATAAAACTTTGAACATCCCACGGAGCACCATTAAATCCATTATTAAAAAATTGAAAGAATATGGCACCACAACAAACCTGCCAAGAGAGGGCCGCCCTCCAAAACTCACGGACCAGGCAAGGAGGGCATTAATCAGAGAGGCAACAAAGAGACCAAAGATAACCCTGAAGGAGTTGCAAAGCTCCACAGCGGAGATTGGAGTATCTGTCCATAGGACCACTTTAAGCCGTACACTCCACAGAGCTGGGCTCTACGGAAGAGTGGCCAGAAAAAAGCCATTGCTTAAAGAAAAAAAAATTGGCGTTCTCCTAAAGGCATGTGGGAGACTCCCCAAACATATGGAAGAAGGTACTCTGGTCAGATGAGTCTAAAATCGAGCTTTTTTGGCCATCAAGGAAAACGCTATGTCTGGCGCAAACCCAACACCTCTCATCACCCTGAGAACACCATGGTGGCAGCATCATGCTGTGGGGATGTTTTTCATCGGCAGGGACTGGGAAACTGGTCAGAATAGAAGGAATGATGGATGGCCCTAAATACAGGGAAATTCTTGAGGGAAACCTGTTTCAGTCTTCCAGAGATTTGAGACTGGGACAGAGGTTCACCTTCCAGCAGGACAATGACCCTAAGCATACTGCTAAAGCAACACTAAAGTGGTTTAAGGGGAAACATTTAAATTTCTTAGAATGGCCTGGTCAAAGCCCAGACCTCAATCCAATTGAGAATCTGTGGTATGACTTAAAGATTGCTGTACACCAGCGGAACCCATCCAACTTGATGGAGCTGGAGCAGTTTTGCCTTGAAGAATGGGCAAAAATCCCAGTGGCTAGATGTGCCAAGCTTATCGAGACATACCCCAAGAGACTTACAGATGTAATTGCTGCAAAAGGTGGCTCTACAAAGTATTGACTTTGGGGGGTTGAATAGTTATGCACGCTCAAGTTCTGTTTTTGTGTCTTATTTCTTGTTTGTTTCACAAAAAAATATATTTTGCATCTTCAAAGTGGTAGGCATGTTGTGTAAATCAAATGATACAAACCCCCCAAAAATCCATTTTAATTCCAGGTTGTAAGGCAACAAAATAGGAAAAATGCCAAGGGGGGTGAATACTTTCGCAAGCCACTGTACATTTGAACTTACTCTGCCGGTTGTCTGTGCGGTTTGACCTTAAGCCGCTTGAAATTTGAGACAAAATATCCACAGGAAAGTATTGTTTACCAAACTTTTTAGAGTGCCGGTACTGTAATTTACATTTTTATCACCTGGCACATTCTTCGCCAAACCATGTACAGTGAGGGAAAAAAGTATTTGATCCCCTGCTGATTTTGTACGTTTGCCCACTGACAAATAAATTATCAGTCTATAATTTTAATGGTAGGTTTATTTGAACAGTGAGAGACAGAATAACAACAAAAAAATCCAGAAAAACACATGTCAAAAATGTTATAAATTGATTTGCATTTTAATGAGGGAAATAAGTATTTGACCCCTCTGCAAAACATGACTTAGTACTTGGTGGCAAAAACATTGTTGGCAATCACAGAGGTCAGACGTTTCTTGTAGTTGGCCACCAGGTTTGCACACATCTCAGGAGGGATTTTGTTCCACTCCTCTTTGCAGATCTTCTCCAAGTCATTAAGGTTTTGAGGCTGACGTTTGGCAACTCGAACCTTCAGCTCCCTCCACAGATTGTCTATGGGATTAAGGTCTGGAGACTGGCTAGGCCACTCCAGGACCTTAATGTGCTTCTTCTTGAGCCACTCCTTTGTTGCCTTGGCCGTGTGTTTTGGGTCATTGTCATGCTGGAATACCCATCTACGACCCATTTTCAATGCCCTGGCTGAGGGAAGGAGGTTCTCACCCAAGATTTGACGGTACATGGCCCCGTCCATCGTCCCTTTGATGCGGTGAAGTTGTCCTGTCCCCTTAGCAGAAAAACACCCCCAAAGCATAATGTTTCCACCTCCATGTTTGACGGTGGGGATGGTGTTCTTGGGGTCATAGGCAGCATTCCTGCTCCTCCAAACACAGCGAGTTGAATTGATGCCAAAGAGCTCGATTTTGGTCTCATCTGACCACAACACTTTCACCCAGTTCTCCTCTGAATCATTCAGATGTTCATTGGCAAACTTCAGACGGGCATGTATATGTGCTTTCTTGAGCAGGGGGACCTTGCGGGCGCTGCAGGATTTCAGTCCTTCACGGCGTAGTTTGTTACCAAGTGTTTTCTTGGTGACTATGGTCCCAGCTGCCTTGAGATCATTGACAAGATCCTCCCGTGTAGTTCTGGGCTGATTCCTCACCGTTCTCATGATCATTGCAACTCCACGAGGTGAGATCTTGCATGGAGCCCCAGGCCGAGGGAGATTGACAGTCTTTTGTGTTCCTTCCATTTGCGAATAATCGCACCAACTGTTGTCACCTTCTCACCAAGCTGCTTGGCGATGGTCTTGTAGCCCATTCCAGCCTTGTGTAGGTCTACAATCTTGTCCCTGACATCCTTGGAGAGCTATTTGGTCTTGGCCATGGTGGAGAGTTTGGAATCTGATTGATTGATTGCTTCTGTTTACTCTCAGCTCATTACCTGGGATCCAGAAATCTTTCTGATTGAGAGGGGGTCAAATACTTATTTCCCTCATTAAAATGCAAATAAATTTATAACATTTTTGACATGCGTTTGTCTGGATTTTGTTGTTGTTATTCTGTCTCTCACTGTTCAAATAAACCTACCATTAAAATTATAGACTGATAATTTATTTGTCAGTGGGCAAACGTACAAAATCAGCAGGGGATCAAATACTTTTTCCCCTCACTGTATATATATACAGTGCCTTCGGAAAGTATTCAGATCCCTTGACTTTTTCCACATTTTGTTACGTTACAGCCTTATTCTAAAATGGATTAAATAAATAAAAATCCACAGCAATCTACTCACAATACCCCATAATTACAAAGCAAAAACAGTTTTTTTTGTGCAAATTTGTTGAAAATAAAAAACGGAAATACCTTATTTAGACCCTTTGCTATGAGATTACAGCCTCAATTCTTCTTGGGATGACGCTACAAGCTTGGAACACCTGTATTTGGGGAGTTTCTCCCATTCTTCTCTGCAGATCCTCTCAAGCTCTGTCAGGTTGGATGGGGAGCGTTGCTGCACGCCTATTTTCAGGTCTCTCCAGAGATGTTCGATCTGGTTCAAGTCCGGGCTCTGGCTGGGCCACTCAAGGACATTCAGAGACTTGTCCCGAAGCCACTCCAGCGTTGTCTTGGCTGTGTGCTTAGGGTCGTTGTCCTGTTGGAAGGTGAACCTTCGCCCCAGTCTGAGGTCCTGAGCGCTCTGGAGCAGGTTTTAATCAAGTTTCTCTCTGTACTTTGCTCCGTTCATTTTTGCCTAGATCCTGACTAGTCTCCCAGTCCCTACCGCTGAAAAACATCCCCACGGCACGTTGCTGCCACCACCATGCTTAAACGTAGGGATGGTGCCAGGTTTCCTCCAGACGTGACACTTGGCATTCAGGCCAAAGAATTCAATCTTGGTTTCATCAAACCAGAGAATCTTGTTTCTCATGGTCTGAGAGTCTTTAAGTGCCTTTTGGCAAACTCCAAGCGGGCTGTCGTGCCTTTTACTGAGGAGTGCCTTCCGTCTGGCCACTCTACCATACAGGCCCTATTGGTGGAGTGCTGCAGAGATGGTTGTCCTTCTGGAAAGCTCTGTCAGAGAGCTCTGTCAGAGTGACCATCGGGTTCTTGGTAACCTCCCTGACCAAGACTCTTCTCCCCCGATTGCTCAGTTTGGCCGTGCAGCCAACTCTAGGAATAGTCTTGGTGGTTCCAAAATTCTTCCATTTAAGGATGATGGAGGCCACTGTGTTCTTGGGGACCTTCAATGCTGCAGAAATGTTTTGGTACCCTTCCCCAGATCTGTGCCTCGACACAATCCTGTCTCTGCGCTCTACGGACAATTCCTTCGACCTCATGGCTTGGTTTTTGCTCTGACATGCACTGTCAACTGTGGGACCTTATATATAGATGTGTATGCCTTTCCAAATCATGTCCAATCAATTGAATTTACTACAGGTGGACTCCAATCAAGTTGTAGAAACATCCCAAGGATGGTCAATGGAAACAGGATGCACCTGAGCTCAATTTCGAGTCTCATAGCAAAGGGTCTGAATACTTGTATAAATAAAGTATTTGTTTTTATTCGTAATAAAACATTTAAAACTCCTAAAAACTTGTTTTTGCTTTGTCATTGTGGGGTATTCTGTGTAGGTTGCTGATTATTTATTTTTTTCAATCCATTTTAGAATAAAGCTGTAACGTAACAAAATGTGGAAAAAGTCAAGGGGTCTGAATACTTCCCGAAGGCACTGTGTATATACACTACCAGTCAGAAGTTTGGACACACCTACTCATTTCAAGGGTTTTTCTTTATTATTCTACAATGTAAAAAATTGTAATAATAGTGAAGACATCAAAACTATGAAATAACACATATGGAATCATGTAGTAACCAAAAAAGTGTTTAACAAATCAAAATATATTAGATATTTGAGATTCTTCAAATAGCCACCATTTGCCTTGATGACAGCTTTGCACACTCTTGGCATTCTCTCAACCAGCTTCATGAGGTAGTCACCTGGAATGCAGTTCAATTAACAGGTGTACCTTCTTAAAATAATTTGTGGAATTTCTTTCCATCTTAATGTGTTTGATCCAATCAGTTGTGTTGTGACAAGGCAAGGGGGTATACAGAAGATAGCCCTATTTGGTATAAGACCAAGTCCATATTATGGCATGTACAGCCCAAATAAGCAAAGAGAAATGACAGTCCATCATTATTTTAAGTCATGAAGGTCAGTCAATACGGAAAATGTCAAGAACTTTTAAAGTTTCTTCAAGTGCAGTCGCAAAAACCATCAAGCGCTACGATGAAACTGGCTCTCATGAGGACCGGCATAGGAATGGAAGACCCAGAGTTACCTCTGCTGCAGAGGATAAGTTCATTCGAGTTACTAGCCTCAGAAATTGCAGCCCAAATAAATGCTTCAAAGAGTTCAAGTCACAGACACATCTCAACATCAACTGTTCAGAGGGGATTGTGTGAATCAGGCGTTCATGGTCAAATTGCTGCAAAGGAACCACTACTAAAAGACACAAATAAGAAGAAGAGACCTGCTGGCTTCTACAATCCCCCGACCTCAACCCAATTGAGGTGGTTTGGGATGAGTCGGACGGCAGAGTGAAGGAAAAGCAGCCAACAAGTGCTCAGCATATGTGGGAACTCCTTCAAGACTGTTGGAAAATCATTCCAGGTGAAGCTGGTTGAGAGAATGCCAAGAGTGTGCAAAGCTGTCATCAAGGCAAAGGGTGGCTATTTGAAGAATCTCAAATGTAAAATATATTTTGATTTGTTTAACACTTTTTTTGGTTAGTACATTATTCCAAATATGTTATTTCATAGTTTTGATGTCTTCACTATTATCCAACAATGTAGAAAATAGGAAAAATAAAGAAAAACCCTTGAATGAGTAGGTGTGTCCAAACTTTTGACTGTTATTGTAAATATATAGTGCAAATGATTTCAGAAGGGACAACATAACCATGGAACATTACACGTCACAAACGGAAGTATGAAAAATGTATGCACTCACTAACTGTAAATCGCTCTGCATAAGAGCGTCTGCTAAATGACTAAAATGTAAATGTAAATCCGAACGTTGTGACACGTCACTAGTTACCACAGCTACTGTCATAAACCCCGCCTATTTCAAAAATGTATCTTCTTACAATGTGATTTTTAACCTACCCCTTACCCCACTGCCAACCTTATGCCTAACCCTAAATTAAGAACAGAAGGCACATTTTTATTTTCATGCATTTTTACGATATAGCCAATTTTGACTTTGTTTCTGTGCTATCTAGTGTAAACCCGCTGTAGGGTTTGGTAGAACAAGGACCAATTGAATCGTAATCGAGGTAAGGGGTGCTCTAGCTATGTACAATTATTCGTTTTGCTTTTTTTGAACTTTGATATAGATCAGTCTAACACAGCTAGCTAGTTAACACACGTCAACAACAACAGAGTACAACTTAGTTTTTTTGTTGTTTTTTTACAGTCTGTTTAGCACATACTAGCTAACTTGCTAGCTAGCAGCGTCACACTTAACATTTGCTATCTCATAATGACTAACTAACTAGGTTAGCTCATTGCCAACAACAACAGAGTGCAACTTTGGTGCTTTTGTTTTGTTATTTTTACAGTCTATGTGCAGCACATAGTAGCTAGCTAGCAGCTTCACACGTAACATTTTATATCTCAGAATGACTAGCGAACTAGGTTAGCTCATTGATGCGTTAGCCAATGTAACGTTTAGACGTCACGTTACCACAATATTCAAGCGTCTAGCTAACTCATTCGCTTCATGATTTATGTGGTCAACATAGCTAATGATGTCATGTCAGAGTCCAATACAGGTAGCTAGCTTACTTATATTTTTAAGTTAGCCTCTCCAGAGAAACGTTCTGATGTCACTTAGGTAGGTAGGATTAATGATATAGCAAACCTCGTTCAGACTGCTTGACTATGAGAAAGTAGACTGCTAACTTTGTAATTTAGCTACAAACATAAAAGGGTGTGCTTGTCTGAATGTGTGTTGGTTTGCACTTTGCAGCTTTGACAATGTGTGGACCACCATACACAAGCTAGTAGCTCCATCTTCGTAGACATGGACAGTACACTGGAGAACATGGAGCCCAGCAGTCCGCTTCGGGACTTGGAGGAACTAGACACCACAGGACCCCTGAATCAGGCATGCCTACTGAATGAGAGTGACTTGCTCTTTGGTGATCTCAGCGACGTTGTCACCCTCAACGAGCCCCCTGTCTACGTCCTCGAGACGCCTAGGTACACTGCTGCTGACCGATGTAGAGCATCGCTTTGGATAGGGTTATTATGATTCTGTATTTACTAGGAACACTTACTACTACCATTGGTGCCATAAAGGTCCAGGTCCTGTGTCTGTCTGTGTAGGTCCTAAGTTAATGTCTATAGCTATACTCCTGAAAATGTTATCCTTATGCTTGTGCAGCCCCCAGTACTTTAGAAGGAGACGGCGGTACAATGGGTTTGAAAACTTTGGATCTGTAAGTAGAATACATCCTGCAAGCAACAATTTACCTTAAAATTCAAGTGTGATACCAAGTCTTGCAACATAAATGAAAGTTGACTCACTGAATGTAGGCACAGCCTGACCTTGCCCTTTTCTTACAGGCTGCTCTCCTCAGCCCGCCTCCCAGTGGAGAGGACAAATCTCTCAGCAGGACCCCCACCTCTCATCAGACGTCAAAACGCAGGAAGCTGTCTGTGCCAGCCACCAGCATGAGAGGTGAAGCCAAACCGGGCACCTTGTGGGCGACCAGTGGTTTTGTACCCACTTTGTCACTCATGACAACAGACTCGTCTATGGTTACCTGTCTGGAACCTCCTCTCCCCTCCTCTATGCCTTGTTCTTATTCATCATCACCACCCTCATCCGCCCTTGGTGCGCCCCCGGCCTCACAGGCCCCAGTGGCAGAATCCACAGTGGAACCTGGTCCCACTAGTCACAGCAGAGGCAGGAAGAGGACCTCTAAAAGAGCGGTCTCTACCAAGTCCAGCTCCAAGGCCTCAGCATGTGCCCAAGCCCTAACAAACCCCACCACAGACTCGGTGTCATACCTGCTAAGCACAGAGAAAGAGAGGCATACTGCTGGCCTGGAGCTTCCTCTCTCTACAGGTAAGAAGATAATAGACAGAGATGCTTTGGAAAATGGTCACAACGGGGGACCAGCGTGTGTGTGTTTCAGGGGAAAGGGGTGTATGTGAGCTCCTTTAGCTAGGTCTTGACATTGGTTAAGCAAATCTCCCCATCCTTGCTCAATTTTGCATGCCTTCTGAAACTGCTACAACTGTATATGCATTCACACATCAATTCTTCTCTTGAGTTGGGCTCGGGGATGGAACAACTGTTGAACATCTGAGTTTGTGGGGGAAGGGTGGGGAGAGTGCCACATCTGTTGCTAAGGGGTAATGATGTTAGGGACAGTACAGGATGAATCACAATAATTGTTTCCCAAAATAATAATTGCTTGGCAAAAAATACACTTTTTGCTAGTCCAGGGCTATAGGTAACAATCCCTCGTATTAATGTGCCTACACTATTACGCATATTATTCATTAATTGTGGAAATAAATTAAGATATGCAAGATTTTTTTTTTATATATACAGTACCAGTCAAAAGTTTGGACACGCCTACTCATTCAAGGGTTTCTTTATTTTTGCTATTTTCTACATTGTAGAATAATATTGAAGACATCAAAACTATGAAATAACACATTTGGAATCATGTAGTAACCAAACAAATCAAAATATATTTTATATTTGAGATTCTTCAAATAGCCACCCTTTGCCTTGATGACAGCTTTGCACACTCTCGGCATTCTCTCAAACAGCTTCACCTGGAATGCTTTTCCAACAGTCTTGAAGTAGTTCCCACATTCTGAGCACTTGTTGGCTGCTTTTCCTTCTCTCTGCGGTCCGACTCATCCCAAACCATCTCAATTGGGTTGATGTCGGGGGATTGTGGAGGCCAAGTCGTTACATTTTACATTTTAGTCATTTAGCAGATGCTCTTATCCAGAGCGACTTACAGTTTGTGAGTGCATAAATTGTTTCATACTGGCCCCCCGTGGGAAACGAACCCACAACCCTGCCGTTGCAAGTGCCATGCTCTACCAACTGAGCTACACGGGGCCTAGGTCATCTGATGCAGCACTCCATCACTCTCCTTCTTGGTAAAATAGCTCTTACACAGCATGGCGGTGTGTTGGGTCATTGTCCTGTTGAAAAACAAATGATAGTCCCACTAAGCCCAAACCAGATGGGATGGCGTATCGCTGCTGAATGCTGTGGTAGCCATGCTGGTTAAGTGTGCCTTGAATTCTAAATAAATCACAGACCGTGTCACCAGCAAAGCACCCTCACACCATCACACCTCCTCCATGCTTTACGGTGGGAAATACACGTGGAGATCATCCGTTCAGCCACACCGCGTCTCACAAAGACACGGCGGTTGGAACCAAAAATCTCAAATTTGGACTCCAGACCAAAGGACCGATTTACACCGGTCTAATGTCAATTTCTCGTGTTTCTTGACCCAAGCAGGTCTCTTCTTCTTATTGGTGTCCTTTAGTAGTGGTTTCTTTGCAGCAATTTGACCATGAAGGCCTTATTCACGCAGTCTCCTCTGAACAGTTGATGTTGAGATGTCTGTGACTTGAACTCTGTGAAGGATATATTTGGGCTGCAATTTCTGAGGCTGGTAACTCTAATGAACTTATCCTCTGCAGCAGAGGTAACTCTGGGTCTTCCATTCCTGTGCCGGTCCTCGTGAGAGCCAGTTTCATCATAGCGCTTGATGGTTTTTGCGACTGCACTTGAAGAAACTTTAAAAAAGTTATTGAAATGTTCCGTATTGACTGACCTTCATGTCTTAAAGTAATGATGGACTGTCGTTTCTCTTTGCTAATTTGAGCTGTTCTTGCGATAATATGGACTTGTTTTTTTAACCAAATAGGGTTGTGTTCTGTATACCCCCCTACTGTGTCACAACACAACTGATTGGCTCAAACTTTTAAGAAGGCACACCTGTTAATTGAAATGCATTCCAGGTGACTACCTCATGAAGCTGGTTGAGAGAATGCCAATAGTGTGCAAAGCTGTCATCAAGGCAAAGGGTGGCTATTTGAACAATCTCAAATATAACATATTTTGATTTGTTTAACACTTTGTTGGTTACTACATGATTCCATATGTGTTATTTCATAGTTTTGATGTCTTCACTATTATTACAGAGAGCTGAGACCAAAGTAACAAAGCCTACCATCAGTAACACACTACGCCGCCAGGGACTCAAATCCTGCAGTGCCAGACGTGTCCCCCTGCTTAAGCCAGTACATGTCCAGGCCCGTCTGAAGTTTGCTAGAGTGCATTTGGATGATCCAGAAGAGGATTGGGAGAATGTCATATGGTCAGATGAAACCAAAATAGAACTTTTTGGTAAAAACTCAACTCGTCGTGTTTGGAGGACAAAGAATGCTGAGTTGCATCCAAAGAACACCATACTTACTGTGAAGCATGGGGGTGGAAACATCATGCTTTGGGGCTGTTTTTCTGCAAAGGGACCAGGACGACTGATCCGTGTAAAGGAAAGAATGAATGGGGCCATGTATCGTGAGATTTTGAGTGAAAACCTCCTTCCATCAGCAAGGGCATTGAAGATGAAACGTGGCTGGGTCTTTCAGCATGACAATGATCCCAAACACACCGCCCGGGCAACGAAGGAGTGGCTTCGTAAGAAGCATTTCAAGGTCCTGGAGTGGCCTAGCCAGTCTCCAGATCTCAACCCCGTAGAAAATCTTTGGAGGGAGTTGAAAGTCCGTGTTGCCCAGCGACAGCCCCAAAACATCACTGCTCTAGAGGAGATCTGCATGGAGGAATGGGCCAAAATACCAGCAACAGTGTGTGAAAACCTTGTGAAGACTTACAGAAAACGTTTGACCTGTGTCATTGCCAACAAAGGGTATATAACAAAGTATTGAGAAACTTTTTTTATTGACCAAATACTTATTTTCCACCATAATTTGCAAATAAATTCAATGTGATTTTCTGGATATTTTTTTCTCATTTTGTCTGTCATAGTTGACGTGTACCTATGATGAAAATTACAGGCCTCTCTCATCTTTTTAAGTGGGAGAACTTGCACAATTGGTGGCTGACTAAATACTTTTTTTCCCCACTGTAAATGTGATATGTCCGTTTTTTTTTTTTTTATACATTTGCAAAAATTTCTAAAAACCTGTTTTTGCTTTGTCATTATGTGGTATTGTGTGTAGATTGTTTTTCCCCTCTCATCAATTTAATCGATTTTAGAATAAGGCTGTATAGTTACAAAATGTGGAAGAAGTCAAGGGGTCTGAATACTTTCCGAATGCACTGTATGTGCATATTATGTGTGAGTGAGAAAAATGAAGGAGTGAGTGAGTGTGTGTGTGTGTGTGAGTGGCAGTGTGTGTGAGTGTAGGGCTCTGTGAGTGTGCAAATATTGAAATAAAAGGTAAATAAAGATACAAGGTAAGCTCGGTCTGTGTAGCTATTTATCAGTCATATATCTCTGGGATAGAAGCTGTTCAAGAGCCTGTTAGTGTCAGACTTGATGCACCTGTATCTCTTGCCGTGCGGCAGCAGAGAAAATAGTCTGTGGCTTGGGTGGTTGGGGTCTTTGACGATTTTCCAGCTCTTCTTTTCACACCGCCTGATATAGAGGTCCTGAATGGCAGGGAGCTCGGCCCCAGTGACGTACTGCACAACCATCTGTAGCGCCATGTGATCGAGGGCGGTGCTATTGCCATACCATGCAGTGATGCAGCCAGTCAATATGCTCTCAATTGTACAGCTGTATAACCTTTTCAGGATTTGAGGGCCCATGCCAAACTTTTTCAACCTCCTGAGGGGGAAGAGGCACTGTCACGCCTTCTTCACGACTGTGTGTTTGGACATTTACCTGACGTTAACTGTGCAAATAGCATTGCTGGGTGATCTGAAAAGTCATAGTCAGTCGATCAATTATATAATAATACTCTTAGCAAAAATGTTTTATATTTCATTTACAATCTGTAGAAACTATGATAATTGAAAGGTTCTGAACATTTGTGAAACAGCGCAGTTGAAAAATATATGGCAAATAGAAATTAAAACTGGATGGTGTTCAGAGATGGATGGGAGGAGGGGTTGAGGATAGCTGAAGGATGGGACTAAAAACAAACAAAAGATAACTCATGTAAAATATACTGTGTCTGTATATAGTATGTATAAGCTGGAAGTAGAAGCCTAAGTGTTGTTGTCCATTAGTTTACTCCAATTTGGGGAGGTGTGGTAGGGTAAGAAAAAAATCTAATAAAAAATAAGATAATAGACATACTAAGGTGAAAAGACACTTGTGGTCCTCTGTAGCTCAGCTGGTAGAGCTCGGCGCTTGTAACGCCAAGGTAGTGGGTTCGATCCCCGGGACCACCCATACACAAAAAAATGTATGCACGCATGACTGTAAGTCGCTTTGGATAAAAGCGTCTGCTAAATGGCATATTATATTATTATTATTATAAAAGAATGAGAAGGGCTTACCAAGAAAATCTTCCAAAATGACAAATTCAAGGTAGAAAGGAGTTGCAGTGACAAAAAATGCAGTGATTTTATTTTAGCTCACTTTAATCCGTTGTACAGAATGCGAAGATGTGCCTGAGATTTCAACATCAAGCTGTCTTCCTCAGAGTGGAAGTTAGAGGTAGTTTCGCAAGCCAATGTTAACTAGCGTTAACGCAATGACTGGAAATCTATGGGGATCTGCTGGCATGCTAGTAGATACCCATACACTTCCAATCATTGTACCAACACTAGTTAGCATTGGCTCACGAAACTACCTCAAACTTTATTCATACTGGACACAGAGACATAAAAATGGTATACAGGAGTTCATCTGACTGGGGAAGTAGACAAAATCCCAAAGTATCCCTTTTAAGGTGACTACCCATTGACCAACCTGATTCAAACAGGATCCACAGACAACAGTAGAACAATAAGTGTATCCTTGGTGTGTCTCTCTGGACTTTCTGACTGCTCTTTTCTCTCTACAGCTGATGCAATGCTGACCAAATATGACGAGATAGTCATCAGTGACAATGATGATGACGTCTTTGTCGAGGCAATGGTTCTCTCAGCGCAGTTGGAGGAAGATGAGGCGTTTGCCCACAGTCTTCAGGTAGGGAAAACTCTAACGGAACCACTATCTCTGTTAAACAAGCTTGCTTTAAGTCAACACAGTGGTCTACAACACACTGGTGGATTCTCTACTAAAAGTACATTTCATTTGAATCAGTACATTGGAACTGAGTTAATGATTTGAAAAGTTTCACAGAAACCCATAAAAGCCTTACTCTCCTGATAGGTCTGTGTGATTTACATTTTACATTTTAGTCATTTTAGCAGACGCTCTTATCCAGAGCGACTTACAGTTAGTGAGTGCATACATTTTCATACTGGCCTCCCGTGGGAATCGAACCCACAACCCTGGCGTTGCAAGCGCCATGCTCTACCAACTGAGCTACACGGATTTGTGATGATAGATTTGTGTTCTCTCTCTGTAGGAACAGTTTGACAGAGAGGAGCAACTGCAGCAGGAACAAAGGAGACAGCAGGAGGCCATGCCGCCCAGCAGACCCCACCACCACAACTACCCAGTGAGCAATTTTCCCTCATATCCTTTGCTAGTTAGTGAGGTATTAGCCCAGTTATAGATAATTTGTAGTCAGCAATTGGGGAGTGATTGCTTTCTACAAGAGCACAAAACGTGTACATTTCTTAACAAATTTTTTTTGTCTTAAAGGGGCATTGTTATATTTTGAAGCAGGCTTGAATAAGCTAAGTAGCCAATAGGCAGAGGGTATCATAATTTGTCTGATTCTCTGTAATAATGGTATGGGAATAATAATGCATTTTATTTTGTAAAGTGGTTTCTTGCATCAAACAACACAACAACATCTTCAGTCACCTTCTTGTCTGAGTGGATAAAGTTTAATGTCAAGCCCTGCATGTTTTTTTCAAAAGTCTCACGGAATGTATGCCTACATTGAACACAACACATTGGCTCCTACTGTAGGCTGAATAATAGAACAGCTATTTCCATGTTAAAATGTTATGGGATGCATTTTCTCCATTGTTTTTGATGGTAGGCCACTCTGGTAGGCCTACATTATGAACAAATAGCCACAGTAGCCTAGACCACTGTTAAAACTGTAACTAAAGCAGGTACAGCCTCAGTGCTCACAGTAAACGCGCGCTGGAAGTTGCACAGAATTTTCACAACGTTCAAGTTTGCGCTCAGCAGACCTGACATTTGTGCGAAGATTTTTTGAGGGAACATTGGCGGTGAGTATTATGTCTCTGCTGTCTTGGTTGGACCAGGTCTCTCTTGAAAAATACATGTTATCGTCGACAGATTTTTCACCTAGTCGGCTCGGGGATTAGAACCAGCGACCTTTCAGTTACTGGCCCAAAGCTCTTAAACGTCAGGCTACCTGCCGCCCTCAATGTGACACTGAATGGGGATTTTATTTGTATTTTGAATTGCGCTGCTGTGGGACTTGGTCTAATTGCTGTGCTGTCTCTCCTCAGTATGATCCTCACTTGGGGATGAACTGGATGTCTCCCTGGCCCTCAGCAGTGAACTACGCAGCTTTTCCCCATCAAGTCACAGGATTAGAGGAAGGTATGTTTCTTGAACAACAACCACAGTATTGTGAAATGTACTGGTAAGCTTGATGCACTACTTAGTTAGAAATCAGTTTTGTTGCTGTGTAGTATGTGTCATAAGTGTGTGTAGTGATCAAACCATGTTTGATAAGTGTGTGTTGAATCATTCAGAGTTGATGGGCCGGTGCAGAGGAAGAGGCCGCTGTCGTGCTCCACATCGCAGAAACCCCCGTCATGCAGTCCCTGCCCTATTTGATGACAGCCAAGGAGACAACTATGAGGTACAACCTGCCTGGGTCAATTAGCAAAAATAAACTAAACTTAAATCCTCCCCATGTAGATTACATTGATTTTCCTTCAATCATTCATATGTAGGATGATATAGATCTTACATTTAGCAGTTATGTTCTCACATTGATTGCTGCCCTGCGTCGGTATTAACCATTGAACATGCAGTCGATCGTTTACTAATGTCACTGTGTATTGGTTAATGTTTGTATGCTCTGTTTTGACCACTCAGGCTCTACTGGCCTTTGAGGAGGGCCAGGGTGCTGTTGTGGCCAAGAAAAGCCTGAGTGAGAGGGAGATCGAGAGGCTGCCTACGAAAACCTACGACCCAGCACATAGTGCGGGAAAGACACAGTAGGTCCCACAACGACGTACTGTTTACGCCTCTCCATATTGTCCGATAAATATGATCTGCAAAGGGTTGTGTGAGTCCAGCCAAAGCAGTAACACATCTGATTCAACTTATCATAGTCTTCAATAAAGAAGCATTGCAGTTCACCAGTCCCAATTCAAATACATTAATTTACTTGCTCAGAATTTCAGCATGCTTTGGATGCTTTAGTTCATGCATTCAGGACAGAACCATGCCAGAGTGACTGTGTTCTGTTTTAGTGTTCTTCACCAGTGGTAATGTTTTCCTCTGTACAGGTGTCAGATCTGTTTCTCGGACTACACAGAGGGGGAACTGCTGAGGATGCTCCCTTGTCTCCATGACTATCATGTGCAGTGCATCGACCGCTGGATAAAGGTACAGCACATTGCGCTTTGTCTATGGTGCAATGTAAGCAGGCCCCTACACACAAACACAACATATTTAGACAGCACTGTGTTACAATGCAGTTACAGCACAACAGTTGGTGCTTTCTCGCCCATTTTAAAATGTCAAACAACATTGTTAACAATTGAACCTTGAAGTTAGACAAGGTAAATGGAAAACTACAAGATAACATGAAATCCATTTGAAAAAATACACCTGGTTGTTTTCTGTTGGCAGGAAAACACCACGTGCCCTATCTGCCGAATTGACATATCGGAGTGCTGTGGTGACTGAGCCTGAGGGACCACAGAACACATACCTCACTGGACAGGACAACCTCTCGTGTGTTAAGGTCATACTGTGTCTTACTGTTTACAAAGAGCACTGTCTTAGTCTTATTTTATACTCTTTGAAGATCAACCTTCTACAATAACATTAATCACCAGATGTGAGTTCAAGTGTATTTTTAATTTTTTTATCAACTTAAAAATAATCCCCCCACATCAAGCTGTTCTACTTGAATACGAGAACTCAGGATCGGATCGCTGCTATTTTTTGGTATTCTCATTCCACATTTAATGTTTTATTCAGATAAATAAATAAAACAATTCTGAAAGGTTTTTGTCTGGAATAATTTCTGAGAAAGGTTCTCAAAGGAAGGTTCATGCATAGTGGTTTTGGCAAAGTTGATCTGTGTAAAAATAGTTATTGTATAAAAAAGAAAAAGCAATACTACATTTTTTTGGTGACATTTTAGTCATTTAGCAGACACTCTTATCCAGAGCGACTTACAATTAGTGAGTGCATACATTTTTCATACTGGCCCCCCGTGGGAAACGAACACACAACCCTTGCGTTGCAAGCGCCATGCTCTACCAACTGAGCTACAGGAGCCCCTATACAGTATACTGTTTCAAGCATGTTTGGAACCTGTTTGTTTTGATAAGTCTTATTTCAGAAGGAAAGCATACCAAACAGCATATACTATTGTGAATGGTTTTATGTACAGTGAATGCACTGTCATGGCGTCTCTTGAACATTTCTATGGCCTTCAATCTTTCTGGCATTTTATGGGATAGTCTGATGGCTTCTAACCTCTAGACCCTTCTTAATAAAACCTCTTTATAGACGGCACCATAACTTTGTCTGATTGACTGAGTCAAGTGTGGCCATTTTTTACCTGTATTTATCCAGGCTAGTCAATAAAGGTAGACTCGGCGATATGACGTAGATGCAGAAAGTAAACAGCATAGAGGGTCAATTTCATCAAAACAACTAACAGTGGGTTTTGACAAGAGCCGGCTCCTACTCTTGACAACGCTTCGCTCCAATGCTTCGCTTGAAATTTGCATAAAGTAGAGCAGAGCTCAACTTTTTCTACTGCTCCACTTACAGGGTTCTCGCAGCTAACCTTCCCACAATCCTAGGCACATTTCTCTGCGTGCCCTCGTTGAAAATTAAAATGGGCGGAACTTCTGCTGAATTCGTTGTTGGTGAAAACCCTACCTAAGAGCGTTGAAGGGCGAGGCTCAACTTCTCTGCTGTTTTGATCCAGTGGCTAACACGCTCTAACAGCGTGAAGCGAACAATTGCACATGCGCAGATACTGTGTGTGACTGTGAGAGCGAAGTATTGCATCTCGCTCATTTCAATATCTGCAGTACTGCTCGTGGCAACATAATTTAGCTGAGTCTACCTTTTTAAGAACAAATTCTTATTTACAATGACGGCCTAGCAAGTGACGACTGGCTCGTAGTACCGCTTTTTCATGGCTCTGTTTCCTCTGGTAGTAGAGCGCTTCCAACTCCTTGACTACAAACTCCCCGTGGGCTATCATCTGTTTGATCGTCTTTGGGTCTTTCACGTCTTCGCTCTTCAGAAACGCCGACCTCAGTCGATCCCTGAAGTAGTCTGCGCCTTTGGGATACTTCTGTGCAAGGTAGAGGAGTTGTTGGAGAGGGCAGTGGAACAGTGACAATTTACCCATCGAACAGAAGTTACATGCAATTATGACTCGACAGAGAAGCGTGTAGAAAATATTATTAAAACATTTTGGGGATTCATTTTATTTCAACTAACGGTGAAACATTGGGTTGATAGCCAGCCTATATTATATACAATTTAAGTTGAGTGAAGGTAATTTCTGGATGACTTGTTACACTTTAGTCAAAAGGTCTTGGTTCCCCTGAAGAAGAAGAAATTGAGAAAGGGACAGTTATGCTTATATTTTTATACAGCCTGACTACTCCTTAATGCATTAGCCATGGTCACAAAAGCTATTGAAAATTGGACAGCACACAGTTGTGCTAAAGCACATACAGTAAGATAACCGTTTCCCAGAAGGTTAACTCAACTTAGTGTAAACAGAAAAAGTGCTTTACCACTGCATTCATTTGCCAAGTCAAATGGTGGCCATCCTATGTTGTCCTTACTAGCTATTAAACAATTAACTATTTGGCTAGCCAATACTCTACTCTCTACACCAGGGTTTCTCAAACTTGGTCCTTGGGGCGTTAATGATTAATGTCATTGCTTTAGACACTAAAACAAATTGTGACTTGTTTGTGGACCTGTCAAAAGCATGTAATACTGTGGACCATGCTATTTTATTTAACACATTTTCCTCGATTGGCCTGGGCTCTGACGCCTGCTCATGGTTTCATGATTATCTTAGTGACAGAACTCAGGCCATCGTGATTGATGGGGTTAAGCCCGAATTTCTTGAAGTACATAAAGGTGTTCCGCAGGGGTCGTTACTAGGACCTGCTCTTTTCACTATTCATATAAATGTTATTGGTTAAAATGTTTAATTTAATCTATATGCGGATTATACTATTATGTACGCAATTGCCCCGACAGCTGACCTGGCTGTGACAAGGTTACAGTCCAATTTTGCTGCTGTGCAGGAAGCAATTACTGATTTTAAAACTTGAGCTTAATACGGGCAAAACGAAATACATGTTGTTTTCAAGTTCGCGTAAGATTGTCTCAGATCGATTACATCTTCACTCATCGGATGGTTCTATATTAGAACGAGTACATCCAAGATGGCGTAGCAGTGCGGTCGTGTACTCTGTGTGTGTCTGTGTAAATAGCCTGTTTTTTGTATTTTTCGTACATATTTCCCTATCACACTTTTCATCCTTCTACTAAATATAGTTTCCTGCAACCCACCTCACTCAATGTGGAACGGATTCTATTATTGACTTACCTTTTATCTAGAATCTCCAGTTGAAACTAGCTAGCCAGCTAACTAGCTACTTGCTATTAGCCACCGTTAGCGGTTTTCACCCAGAACATCAGATTTTCTGCCAGAATAACTGAATCACTGGACATTAACACCGGATCGCAAACTAGCTAGCCGCAATCGAATGGATGTTGCTGTTGGCTAATCACCACTGCCCCCGAAGCCAGCACCAGTTAGCCAGGCCCATATCCCGGCTATCTACCTCTCTGTCTACCGGACGGGAGTAGCCAGCTAACTAGCTACTTGCTATTAGCCATCGTTAGCGGTTTTTCACCATTGTCCGTGGCCTGCACTACCTACCAGCCAGCTCTAGCCTGGACTATTATCGGCCAGTCTGCACTGTCTGCACGGCGCGTTATCGACCCAGAACATATCGTTTTTTCTGTCGGAATCACTGGACCTTTAACTCCGGATCATCGCAACCAAATGGATGTTGTTGGCTAATCAGCCTTGAGCTAGCCTCGAGTCAGGCCCATTTCCCGGCTATCTACCTCTTTGTCAACCGGATGGGACCTCCTAGTCGACACGAAGCCCCGCCGATCCATCACGACTGGTCTGCCGACGTAATCGTCTGGTTTAATTTTTACATTTGAGTCATTTAGCAGACGCTCTTATCCAGAGCGACTTACATGAGCAATTAGGGTTAAGTGCCTTGCTCAAGGGCACATCGACAGATTTTTCATCTAGTCGGCTCGGGGATTAGAACCAGCGACCTTTCGGTTACTGGCACAACGCTCTTAACCACTAAGCTACCTGCCGCCCCGTTTCAACAGGCTTCCCGTTGCGACGACCACGAAGATCCATCTGCTAGCCCCGGCCCGCTAGCACACGCAAACAACAGCCGTGCTTCCTGCTAGCCTGTGCTGTAGCACCAATTCGAACTGCTCTCGGACTCACATATTGCTGTTCACTGGACCTTATGATCACTCAGCTGCACAGCTGATGCCTGCTGGACTGTTCCTTTACACGGTACCCTGTCCTGTTTATCTGTTTAGCCTCAGCCCAAGCTTTCATCGCCATTACCAGTTGTTGTCTTAGCTCTCTCTAATAACACCTGTGATTGCTTTATGCCTCTCTCCAATGTCAATATGCCTTGCCTATTGCTGTTCCAGTTAGTTCTTATTATACAATTTCACTGTAAAGCCCCAAGTCCCTCTCAAACTGCCTCAAATAGCTCCTTTGTTCCACCCCCCATACACGCGGAGACCGGCTCAATCGGTGCCTCCAGTGATGCTATCTCTTTCATTGTTACCCAACGCTTAGGTTTACCTCCACTGTACTCATATCCTTCCATATCCTTGTCTGTACATAATGCCCTGAATCTATTCTACAACGCCCGGAAATCTGCCCCCTTTACTCTCTGTACCCAAAGCACTAGAAGACCAGTTTTTAAAGCCTTTAGCCGTATCCTTATTCTAGTCCTCCTCTGTTCCTCTGGTGATGTAGAGGTTAACCCAGGCCCTGCAGCCCCCAGTATCACTCCTACTCCCCAGGAGCTATCATTTGTTGACTTCTGTAACCGTAAAAACATTGTTTTTTTGCATATTAACATCAGAAGCCACCTCCCTAAGTTTGAGTTATTCGCTGCGTTAGCACAATCTGCCAACCCTGATGTTCTAGCAGTGTCTGAATCCTGGCTTAGTAAGGCCACCAAAAATTCAGAAATGTCCATCCCCAACTACAACATTTTCCGTCTAGATAGAACTGCCAAAGGGGGTGAAGTTGCCTGCAAAGCTCTATCATACTATCCAGGTCTGTGCCCAAACAGTTTGAGCTCCTACTTCTAAAAATCCACCTTTCCAGAAATAAGTCTCTCACTGTTGCTGCTTGCTACAGACCCCCCCTCAGCCCCCAGCTGTGCCCTGGACACCATATGTGAATTGATTGCCCCCCCATCTATCCTCAGAGTTCGTACTGCTTGTTGACCTAAATTGGGATATGCTTAACACCGCAGCCATCCTACAATCTAAACTAGATGCCCTCAATCTCACACAAATTATCAACGAACCTACCAGGTACAACCCTAAATCCGTAAACATGGGTACCC